AAAACAATTTTTTTTTTAAATTGTTAAAAATGTCGTTTATCTTAAGTAGGAAATAAAAATCACCGGGCGATATATGTCAATTGAATTTTTATTTGGGTGTCATTTTTGGAATTTACATTTTAAGCTACAATAAATAGATTACAGCGATTATTTAATTTAATAATAAAATTTGAATAATGACAGAGGTACACTAATAAACATAAACTTTTTTTACATTGGTGTTAAGAAATGCACTTAAAAAGTTAATTAAAATTAAGCCACATAGCTATCAGCGATTTATTGATGGCGAGGTAGAAAATATATATTGATGATTAGGTTGAGAATATGATGAATAATATCCTAAGTCAATATTAATAAATTTTCTTTCTATTTTTAATATGAATCGTTCGGTTTTATTAAGGTTGCTGGTACCTTTGGAGCTTAACTATCATCTTTCGTACTATTAATTTATGTTACGTGAAAAAAAAATCACGTAAAAATTATTAATTTTTATTTAACAAATATTACGCGAGCTATAAAATTATTCCTAGCTGTAAATGGCAATGGACATTAAATTTCAATATCGTATGTAGCATTGATTTTTCAGATAATTTTCATTGAATCCGATAAAACCATACTTACAACGTTGTAATACACTAATTTTGCAATCTTTAAACATGTAAATTAATAATCACCAAGTTTAATTTATTTTTCAATCAATTTGTTGCATTAAGTTTGTTTTCAGTGTCATCGTGGCTTTAATTTGGTGAATCGAACAGCATTTAGTGCTCACGGCATCGTTATTATTTTTTAAAAATTAAATTTACCGTCGACAAATAGTATCCCACCACAAAATTATCGTCAAACTGGACGCACCAACCGAAAAATACCGTAAGTAGCCAATAAAAATCGTTAAAAAAACCTATTACTGACTTCAGTCAACCGCACACCTATACTGGCATACGTTCCTCATCGTAGGCAACAAACGAGCTGGCATTTCAAAAAACCCAATTTTCAACTTCGATTGCCAGTAATACAGTTGGTCAAACCATCGTGAAGACAAAAGACTTAAAACTTCACCAAAAAACTCACGTAAATAGTCGTCCAATGAAGTACACCGTAATCAAACCTACGTCGTTTCGGAATGCCACCTCTGCTCGTTGGGTACTTGGTAATTTTATCTTAAACCACATCACCACAATTGAATGAGGAAAAAAAGAAAAAAAAAAAAAAAAGAAAAAAAAAAAGCAGAGAATGTACTAAATTATCATACAGGTGTACTATGAACAATAACTCGTGTTGTTTGCACTAGTGCAGTAGCCCACCTCGAGGCTCTCGCCGGTCGGTGGTCCGAACAAAGGCCCGCCTCAACTCAGGCTGTTCTTAACCAGGTAAGCCAAGCTGCGTCCGGTAGTCACGACACACTCGTCCCGATGGATGTCGATGCGTGCCCGCACCACTGGATGCAGCTCGCTCGAGCGCTCGTGGCCGACGAAAAAGTGCACCAGAGCGCCCCGACCGCGCCTCCTAATATACCCTTAGTCCCTCCCCCCCAAGTATTCACCGGCTGTTGGGATCGTTGTCGTCAGATCCGACGTAAGTCGGCAAACAGTCTTAAGGAGGCAATTTTATTCGATTAGAGCGGATCCGAGGAATACCTTGGCTTACCTTGAATTTCCCTTGCCTCTTCGTCCCTCCTCCTCGGTTTTCTTTGGATTTCTCAACTACGTATTGTGTAGGCACACAGAAGCCCTACGAAGGCGAGCTCTTCGAGAAGGTAAGTAATCGCCGCGTCTTCAAGTTGTCACGGCCCAGGCCGTGGCCGTCGTCGCCCTGTCATCGACTTGTTCGCAAATGTTTTCGCGCTTGGAATACACGAGCATGCGAAAGCTCCACTGTATACCTATTACCTGGTTTTGTTGATTTCTATGCTATTGGTGAGGTCAACTATATTTTGGTTCCTTCACCATTATACACGAACAAATTTAAAGCTAAGTTTACGGACTTACGGGGAGTTTCTTGTCACTCGAAATCGGGGGATTATCGGATTTTTATTTTGACCTGTGGGAGTTGGGGAGAAGTTGGTATCGATTATCGCGAAAGTTCTGGCCATTAGAGTGTGCCATTGCCAAAACTAACGTTTTTCGGGATTCGATTAGAATTAATTAAGGAATTGTGTGTAATGATTTTCTCAAAATATAGAGAAGTAAGTGAAACCTTCAACTAGGATTATTCAGAGTATCGGACAACTGTGTGAATTTTTCCAATATTTTTTACTACAATTTTTTTTCAATTATAAATTGAATGTCACGAATAAAAAAATTTGTGGTTGAATATATTTCAAAAACTTACTCAGTTTCCTGATGCTCTGAATAGGTATTGTTGAAAGTTCTACTGCTTTCTCTGAATTTTCAGAAAATCATTGAAACACCTTGACTAAAAAATTGTAAGGAAAAAAAGCTTTATCGTGGGCTAGCTGAAACAAATAACAATACATATGTAAATTTTATCAACTTTATATCTTTATACAACTTAGCATTTACAAATGCATGGATTATTAAAACAATATAAATAATAATCTTAATATTTCTACTGTGACCTATGTTTAAAATTTCGAAGTTAATTATGTATCTGAGATAATCGTTGCACAATTGTATGATGATATGTGAAAAACCGAATGGTTTACATGGGTTTGACAAAATTACGTATACATGAGGGCGTCCATTGTTTCTTAAATTTTATTGATTAGTCATACACTCACTGAAATCTATTTATTGTAGCGGCAAATAAAAATTCTTATCGAAAAAAAAAAAAAAAATTAAATTAACACAAGGTGCTAGACGCATTTTGATTTCCTATTCAAATAACAAGATTTTCATCGATTTTTACAAATCGATTATAACCGTTCCAGTAGCTTTTAAATCGATTAAAAATAATAAATCACATTAAGTTGAAGTAGAATTATCTATTAAATCACTGATGAATTTTTTGCGGTAAAAAAAATTTTAAAAATATTAGATTCATGGACATTATTTTCTTTTAATTTAATCAAATATTAGCTCTTAATTTATGTTCGTAATATTGATCTCTACAAATATTGTATTCCACTTTTGCTAGTTAGTATGCTGTAAGTAATAGTTAACAGTTAATATTAAATTGTTATTGTTGCAAGTATCTGGATTTAAACATTTTTTTTTTCCTGAACTTGAAAGTTATTTTGAGATTTTTATCCTACTACTTTCTAGGTCGAGTACTGAGACTGCCTTAGGATTACAGTCCATTTACGTCAACGACGTCAATGTCAAGCATAAATATATTTAAAATAATAAGTTTTTGTATGCGTGAGTAGTATATTACAAAATTTGTGATGTAAAACACAATTTTGTTGTAATTTAATCACGATATTAAACTTATGAATTGAAGTTAAATTTACACAAACTAAATAAATTAAAAATTAATTCTGAAATTTAAGTAGTTGATAAAGAAATTGTTTAATAAAACGAGTTGTCACGTACGATAGCTGAAGATGTCGCGGGAAATAAGTATTTCATAGTATCTTTTAAGCCTCTTAGTTGTAGAAACCGTACTAAGGCTCAGAAACAAAATTAATGTGATCACCTTGAGTTTTCTAAGACCAAAAATTCGCTAATTAAAATTATTCTTTGCATTTTTGGATATTCGTAAAAGTAAAGCTAGTTAAAAAATTCTTATTAATTCAATCAACAAGTGAGAAAAAAATGAATTATACTGAAAATTGCACATAAAAGTCCTTTTCTCTTTTTGGCGTTTTTTTAAATCTTTGGATGATTACTGCTTCTTCAGTATAGGAAAAATTCTCTTTGCACCTGGTACACATCCAGTCATGGCAAGCACAAGGAGTCCCTCGGGCTGATGCTGGCCATGGCGACATGCGCCACAAGGTACGAAAGCAACTATTTTCTATAAATAAAATTTAATAAATATACCTTTAAGTAATAATTATTCCAATATCAAATAACGAATTAATATCTATAAATCTCTCATTTTTGGCAGTGTTATACTTTACTAATTAGTGCTTCGAAGATTTTTAACACTATTTTCAAATAAGTCAAATAATTGAAAATCTACTAAGTTATCAGGAATTTTTTTAGACAAATCTTCAAAAACACCAGCAACACTTTATGTACGATTTAAAATAATATTTGTTGATCTTTGTATGGTGCCGTCGGGAGGATGAGTGGCTTGCAACCTCTCATTTTGTAATTTTTGGAACAAAGACTGTTGAAGATGAAAGAAGCACCCAACAACGGTAATGGTAGGATGTACGGCAATTCATGCATTGATGATGCATCCTATTCAAGATTAAAATCCAGTAGCAGTTGGCAGCCCCATTAGAATTTTTTATTTTTTGAAGGTTTTGAGAAGGCGTAAATAAATTTAAATCCATTAGGGGGCAACGATGTCAATTATCAAATAATTTTGAATGAAAAAGTAGTGTAAAATATTGGTTAACAATAACCCTCAAATTCTGAAATAAGCTGATTGTAAATAAACATATTCAGAATAGTCAGAATAAACATCCAGCATTTTTTTGTATATTTTATTTAACTTTTTTTTGCAAACTATTGGAGCAAATAGATTCAGACCAATATATATGATTGTTTGGGTAAATGTTCGTCCGATCATGCAAATTCAGACAACCCCAAGCGAAAATTAAGTTTGTGAATAAATAATTATAAGTGATGAAAACCGATAATAAGAAATAATCAAGTCCAAATTTTAAACTGAAAAGAGAGTCGAATAACTGTCATTGTTAATCATTACTTGTTATTTTTTATTATTTCTTTTTTCCTTATAAGTAACCGATATATAGAAAGGTATGTACAAAAAATANGAAATACATAACTTATGGAGAAGGAAAACAATATTTGAATGTTTTTAAAAATGAAAGTGTTAAACTGAGCAATATATCACACATTATAGGAAGCTCAAATGCCAATGGTGTAGTTGCGTTAAAACGTTTATATGATATCTGCTTCGATGAAGATGGTAATAAAACATACTTTTTACAAGTGTTTGAACAGAATTCCGTTAATTTAAACAATTTTATTATTAGCTTTTATATTTTTTATTTTTCCTCATAAATAATAAAATAAAAAAGATGATATTCGCTTGAGAATGAACGAGTAACGTAGTCACATAACATGTAATAATGTATCCATTTATGCATGCTCTGCGTCGTGGCAATAACTGATAACCTGACCCCCCCCCCACAGTTTTTTAACGTCTCTTAGATGCTACACAAAAAATAAAAAATACGATGAAATACAACAATAATAATTACACTTGAATCTTTTAGTTTTTATAATTTATTAGTGAATAAATTTAGAAGAAAAAAGTACACAACGCGGACTAAATTTCACTTCACTGAAATATACCAATACTGTAACGGAATCGACGCCATTAAATATCCAAGAAGTCATACATATCGTTGTAACATTTATTTCATGAAACTTATTGTTATGGTACTTATCGCACGTGATAAATATATAAATAACAGCAATCGTTAACTATTTACCTTTGCATTTGCATTGAGATTAGAAGCAGTTTTTTTTTAAATAAAAATTATAATATATATATGCTGTTTAGTTCCGCAGATTCCATAGTATAGACGCATGCGCTACTGGAACACACGGATAGGCTGAGCGTAATTCCATACCTGCAACCTGCAACAGAGCCTTTTCTCGAATAGCAATAAAATTTTCGTGTTAAGACCCTGATTCTCATAGTGTCAGTGTCAGATAATATATGGAGCCACAAACCCCCCCAAAAAGAAGAAGTAGAAGAAGAAGAAGATAATACTTATACAGAAGTGTCACGAGTGTCCCAGGTTTAATCTCAACTTTGCAAGTTCACAATAAATAAACTAGTGTTAAACTATTTAACTTTACCTCTTAACTAGGAAAATAAAATCACTCTGTACTTAATATTGTTTGTTGTTAGGTTAGAAATTCACGTATAAAATATAATTATCTATTTTTCGTAAATTGATTCAAGTTATTCTTTACAGTTTCTTCAAAGCTCATCTAAGCAGGATGAAAGGTGTGACCTAAAGTTTTGTAAACAATATACATGAGCAATTGAATTTTTTTCAATTAATTTAACAAAATATCTTGAATGGCAAAATGGAATCAAATAGAAAAAGAAAACACTTTGGTGCTGATGAAGCAAATTTACCTAAAAAATCATGTAAAAAACTGCCAATCCGTCAAAGTGAATATTCGTCAAAAGAGTGCACCAATAATGTTGTGGATACTGCAGTGTCAAAATCAGCAAGTGTGGAATGCCTGGGTAATTCAGAAAATGGAGTTACAGGTGACAAAACTCATTATAAGTACACTTCTAGCATAATTAAAAAATATACAGATCACTATTGTAACCACTTGATTGACCTAATGTACAAATTAGATGTGGCAACATTGTGTCACGTTAGACAACTCATACATAAAAACAAATATCCTGTATTATC